GCTAGAATCTAAAAAGCTTATTAATTGTAATATAACGCTCGAACATATTCGCGTAATAATTAATTTGATAAAAAAACAATTATTCAGGATTAAAGAGTATTTTGCTAAAATGTATTTATTATATTTTCAATATTATTTAAATTTAATCTATTATCCAATCAAATCAATAGATCTTCTAATACTTGTGAAAAAATCATTTTGTTGACTCCTAGTTTCTTACCGACATAAATAAATCATTAGATGTAAATATCGCAACAACAATATGAACGCTTCTAAACGTTTCTCAATTGCTCTAATGCATGACGCAATTGCATTGATTATTGCGTGCAACTGAACGAATATAACTCAAGTGTACTACACTATTGCTACTGTAAATATTGTAGTATCATTGCAGTAAAAGTTAATAACGCTTTTATCTGGTGGGACGCTGCAGTCTGTTTTAATCTGTTCCAGTAACGAAAAGCGTATGAGTCACGAGAGTGTTGCGAACGTAACAGAAACGGTTTAGTATCACAGGACTAGTATGTCTGCAATCAAACAAATTTTTGATTTAATCTAATTCTAGACAAACTATCTATTGTTTCTTATTCTTAATTGATGTATAAGATAATAATTAATAAACTTTAGAAATACTTTAAAACTAAAATAAACTTTGACTACGAATTAAAATAAAAGTACATCGTTGGGGTCACTCATGACCCCAGAAGAATTAAGAATTAACGAGGGGAAGCAGACAACTTGTTAAACTTGTACAATGTCGAACTTTCAGCACATATTTCAAAAAGATGATTGTACTTGGGAAGCGGTTTCCACTAGGAATTAAAAATAAAGAAATTGCAGTCAAGGTATCAATTAACGATTACAAACTTGCCGCATCCATTGTAATGTACCAATAGCAATACGCATGATTCAGGTCAGTAAGAGCGCGGTCAATGACACACCACAGAAACACGCTTACATCAAAGTTTTAATCCGAGCAATCACAAATCAGTTATTTCAAAAACGCGGACATAAATCATTGTACGCCGTTAATGTGATCAAACGCAATCTCTTCGACTAGAAAAGACAGATGTCGTTTATAATGCACGAAGGGTGCATCTCTGAGAAGCCGAAAACTGCTCATGAACTAATTCCCATTAAAACAACGGCCCGTTCGATAGCAGACATTTTGTGTGCGAAGGAATTCATCCAACGTTTTGACTTTACTGGTAGGGAAATTTGACTCGAAATTTTCAGATGAAAATATGATTAATTAATTCATTAATTCTGTCGTTCTGACGTTTTTAGAACGTAGATATTTCTTATGTTGATTTTTAATTATTTTTGTTTTGAAGATTATAGAAGTTTAGCTTAGACATTATTAAAAATAAAATATATTTTTAAAGCAGAAATTTAGATAGTGTATTATTTTTCTGGTTAAATATCTTTAAATAATTTCGCGTTAGTTTAGTTTGCAAGTAGAAGTACTTTTCTTTTAGATTTTTTCGTTATTCGACTATCGAATGAAATCATTGCTTATCGCATTTTATATTGTATTTATTATATTTATATTTATTATATTCATATTGTTATATTATATTTTTATTATATATTTTATTTATTATATTTCTAGCGAATGTTTTCAGTGTTCACGTTCAATCGAATGAAATAAAATAGCAGGTAACATGATCACAACCTCTTACATCAGATCATTTGTTTTTTCATTCGAACTTATTGATTAACTCGAGTAAGAAACTGTTCAAATTTCATATAAAGTAGTTACTTTCTCTATGCCGCAGTAGAATCTCGATTAACCGAATCTTTAAATTCATTATTATCTGAACACACACACACACACACACACACACACACACACGCGCGCGCGCGCGCGCGCACACACACACACACACACACACACACACGCACACATACACACACACACATATGGTCTGCATGTAAATATGTATATCGATAGGAAACGATCCGCATACGACACTATTTGCTGCATCAATCAGTAAAGTTTCAATTTAGCATTATAGTCGTGCAGCTGTTCAATGATCCAAGCGGTCATGTTTTCTCGATAAGTTCGTATAATCGAGGATCCGCTGTACTTCGAAAACAGATAGATTGCATGCACTTGTAATAAAAGTGTCAATGGAGAAAGGCATTCGAACAATTTAACGCTTTATCTATCCGGCAGTTCTCTAATAGTTCTAAAATTGAAGATGGCCACTTAAGAATCTTTTTTTAAATTTCTTCACAAACTACGATAATCCTACCCGCAATCCATCGAGTTATTTAGATCGATATAATTTACCAAGTTCTTTTGAAATTATTATTTAGAAAAAAATTATCGAGCTTCTTTTAGACGCATCGAAAATCTACGTTCTTCTCAATTTATTAGAATCATCTACAAATGAAACACATTTCTCTTTAATTTAAAGACATTTCTGTTTTGTATAGAAATCCGCAATTTAGATGAATCGGTTGAAGCAATTCGTTACAGCGGTCAAGCTTCTGGGTTCCACGATAGAAAGTTTCTGAAGAGCAAGCTCGAGGGACCAGTGATTTGATTGAATAGTCCACAGGATTGCTACAAAGTCACACTAATCAGTAGATAAATAGCCGATCTAAGAATAGGATATAACAACGATACAAAGTTCAACTTGATTCCATAAAGAAGACATACGGGGTGCATACATTTCCTCAGGACCAAGATGCAATCTCAATTGACCTACGGCCCCACTCTGGCAGCTCCCCTCGACGGCGAATCGTTCGCCTTTTGCTCGACCACCGAGAGTCATCACTTCTTCACTTCGTAACGAACATCCGGTGAGGATGAACCTAAACAGTGAACTCGTCCTCGTCTTCCTGGCCCTAGCCTTGACGGCTGTCTGCGCGGAATTCGTGCCGCCGCGGCCGTGTCCGTATGCTGATCGTGAGTATCGACAAAACAGTGATCGTAATCGATCAGCTAGCATTACGCGAAGTTTGGTGTCGAATCGTCCAGTGCCGTTCAAGTTGTTCAAATATTCGGCACATAGATCGTTGACAGAAGTTTCAATTCGATCTTTCCCGAGCGCGGTAGCAGGATTTTATTTTCTCGTTCTTTTTTGTTTTCGCTGTATACAAATCGGGTAAGTGACAAGAACGTCGACCGTGGATGCGCTTTTAATATGGATACGGTGCTCGAACAAAAAAAAGAAAAATGGGACGCGTATTTTTTCATGTCCGCGATCGTTCGCTTTGAAGTGGCGAAAATAACCCTTGAAATCGGGGATGGAAACGGTCGATTAAATATCTCGGGGCTTATTGATCGTAATCAGAATCTCGATGTGCCAGCGAATCTGCACTTTGTGCTTCGAAATAATGTGACATTCGAAAGGGTACAATATTGTAACGGACAAAATTGATCTTTAAGTTTTACAATGGGATATAATTTGAATATGGAATGAAATGAACGTGAACGTCGCGTCGCAGCAGTTGTTTGTGTCTATTAGGGAACGATACGACGTGAACGTAAACAGTCTGACGTAAATTGGTAATTAATTTACAAGTTATTTTACTGTTGGAAACTAGAGGTTTCTAACTGTAAAGAAGTACGGTTTGTTTCAGTGTAGTACAATCATATTTACACATACAGTAAATTCTCTCTGATTGGCGCTCGAATTGTACACAAAAATGGACAATTTGAGAAGAGGAGACACGATTATTTGAGCCTTGCGGCTCGTTTTTGTAGTTACCGATTGTTAACAACTATGAAGACGAGCCGCAAGGCTCGAATAATCGTGTCTCCTCTTCCCAAATTGTCCATTTTTGTATCTAAGCTCAATTAGAGAGAATTTACTGGACATGCAGCACACAGTATATACATATTCATAAATATGCGTCTTACAAATTATAGACTTTTATATAACGTTAATGCTGCAATTGCTAATTCTTTAACTACAAATAATCTGTTTCTAGAATATTTATTTCGTAATTGTTATGGCTTCATAACTTTATTGATGAACACACTGAAATGAAAAAAAAATCTCGTTTGCAAGATTTATTGCATTTATATTATATAATGCGACCACTTGACTACTTATACATATATTGCTCGTTATCACCATCTCCGCTACATGTTGCCGCGTTATGAATTATACAACTCATTTAAATCGCCTGATTTAGATAAATTACAAGTTTACCCCATACGCCGTACAGTATCTGTAAGGTCGTTTTCTATCAAATGTTATTTATGAACCGTAACAGCCAGATGTTCATTTATCGAAAGAGTGATTGGAAGTCAGAAATTTGGCTGTATCTCGGATGTATGGTTGTTGGGGCACACATTTATATTACACAATTTGTTCTTATTTTAGTGCGCTGAATGCATCGGCGACTTGCAAATTTGTTTACAAGAAGCTGTTATATTTATCTGTTGATTTTATCTGTTGAGTTGCATATGAAAATTTAAAAATAATATGTTTTCGAAAAGAAAACGAACAGCCGACATAAACATGTTGTTGTCATGTAACGATTTTCATGCTTAATATTTAGCCAGAAAATATGTGAACAAACTACAATTATGTTATTTTATTACATTAACTGATTCACCAGAATCAGCCAGCATTTACAAGTTGCCATCACGCTGGCAAGAAATCATAAGTAACGATGGAAAGTATATTCTACAATAAATATTATTAAATGTATGAAAATTGTGTTTATATATTTCAATTTAAAAACGGCCAGAACTTTCCGGTAGACCTAATATAAACGTGCGCGTACTCGGATCACTATAACGGCGCAGTATATAATAAATGCGACGTTGTTGCAACTTCGACGAGTTCTAATTTCCGCGATATATTTGTTTCAGCTAACACTGTATCGAATTGCACTGTTAACGAGGTGTACATAAATCCATGTAAGGAAATTGCGGACTCGAAACCATGTAAACTAAAACGCGGGATTACCTCAAATATGACTATTCATTTCACACCTAGTAAGTGTAACTTTAGGCGACCTCGCAGTAATTTTTTGTAGGAAATTTGAACTAATCAAGCAGCATTATATTCGCAGATTTCACGTCGGACACAATGACAGGTCGAGTATTTTGGGCGAGTCAATTGACGGATATCCCATTCCTGGGAATGGATGCTAATGCTTGTTTATCGACTACGTGTCCAGTCAAGGCGGGCGAACGAAATACTTTCTTTACGGAAATACCAATTTTAAAGAAATACCCTGTTGTAAGTAAATTTCCGTCGACGTAATTTACGAGATTATTAATTGATAGGAAGCTTTCGCAATACCTATAATAGTATTTCACAGGTGATGATTTCATAGTTTTCGAAAATTTATAATCCATAGTTAAAGAGTTACCGATCATTTTTTTCAGTAGCAATAACAGTGTGGCAGTTCAATCAGTGAACCAATTCATAATTTAAATGATTTCTAATGGATGGAAAACGTAATTCAATTGTTTCTTTTGCGATTATTATTGAAGAGAGAATTTAAAGGTGATTTTTATTATAGTATTATCATTGAAAATTGGAAATCCAATGAATGAAATATTAATGTAGTATCAACCAACAATTCAGTCATAGTTCCTGAAAATCTGTAATTTATAGCTAAATACAGTTTCGTGAGAAATTTTTCAGTAACAATTGCTATTCTGGTTGTTTATATTCGTGGTTATTCAAAAATGAATGGAAGACAATAGTCGCTTGCGTCATAAATGCACAAAATTTGCAGCCATTAGTAACAGTTCTTAAATTACTAATCGGTTTTAAATATCTAGAAGTCACAATCAAGAATTTTTTAACAAATTTTTGAATAACGGAAATATGAAACGTAAATTAACACGACACACCTAATAATGTGACTTGTTATTTTTTTTTCAAATGATTACTTTTAATCTAAGACGTTTCCACTAGGTATATAAATTGTTCGTTAATGTTATTCATTTGCAGTGTATGGTAATAATTCTTGTGTTACCTAATATACAGAAATTATGTTAAATAATTTTTTCAATTTCTGCTGACAGTATTGACATTCACAGACATTCATTTCTGTTTCAGAGAATGTATGATCTTAAGTGGAGAATATGGAATGATCAGAATCAAGAGTGTTGTTTTATGTACCAAATTAAGATAACAAAGTAATTTATTATGCTCAATTAATTTCGATAAGTTAATCGAATAAATCCATTATTGAACCAACAAAAGCATTTTTTTGTTTCTTCCACAACATCGTTTCTTAGCACTTGTATCTTCATTGTATAATTCATATAGCGAATCATAAATGCTTCGCAGATAATGACATAGTTTACACTCTAGGTTTAAGTCGGCTTACGAACTTCTTGTATGAGTTAGGTAATATGTAAGAGGTCCCAATGTTAATCGCTAAGTTTCTTGATCTCTTTTTAGCGATAAGAAGAATATTTCATTTTAATCACAGACTCGTAAGAGGCTTTTCTGGCTTCTGCCTTTAATCACGATATATATTTTCAACATTTTACGGAGAATGATTTTCTAATCATTTAAAATCTAGCTGAAAATTTGTATATGTAAGGAGTTAAATGACATTCTTAGCAAATGAGCTGAGTTACCAGAACGTTAAAATTTGTCTATTTTCTCTGTGATGTTGATCTCGTGCTAGTATTTTAAGTAAAAAAAAAGCTTCAAAAGAAACGCTGCGGATAGGATTCGAACCTATGCGGGTACAACCCATTGGATTTCGAGTCCAACTCCTTAACCACTCGGACACCGCAGCTTACGTCCATACCGTGATAAATTACAGATAATGTAATGCCTTCATTACCATGAAACAAACAATACGGTTTTTATCACTAAACACAAATATTTGTTAATCAATTTAGATATAGATTACACGTTAAATAAATACTCGTTTCGTCCAGTTATGTATGAACATATTGAAAATACTGCTAATAAATACTAAATTGATGATAATAATTATTCACATTTATGTCGTCAAATATAATTTGTAGTATAACAAAATAAACTGATCAGTTATTTCTGTTCTTATCTGAATTTATTTCAAATATTGATTAAAATGATCCACCTAATAGATATTAAAAGTTATAATAACAGAAAGCAATAAAAATTAAGTTTCTGTTTTTCTCAATTATTGATTCACCTGAGGCTAGAAGTATAGAATATGAAATGTGAATGAATATTTAGGACGCATCAGATTATTTTGGGAAATTTTTTGCTTCAATATTATGTGTAAAATCTACTAATTGTCACAGAAGCAATACAAATTTATAATTATTTCTCATTTGAAATGTAATAATAGCGGCAATCCATAAAGCGGCAAAATGTTGAAACAGGTAGACAAGCATTATCTACAGTAGATTATGTTCAGGAGATGTAGCAGTAGAACGAGCCTCACAGACATACCTCGTCTGTGCTAGCACCGGATATAAAGTTTTGTTATCCAAAAGTGAGGCTTCATAAACTCCATTACCATTCCCATGTCGCGCCTGTCGTTACCGATATTTTAGTGAGGATCGACTCACAGACGTTGCATCTTATGAACTTTTCTGCCTCAGCTTTGGGAGGCTCCAGAGCTTCCTTACCATTTCGTGTCGCACTTAGCATTACCGATAGTTCACGATAAGTAGGCACGTTTGCAAGAAGCGAATATCCTGTATATTTCATTCCTACTACGAGTGCTGAATATTACTTGGAGGTACTAAGCGTGTACAGACCATGTCGGAGCAAGGCGGAGCCGGGTAGTGCAGGGCACGGCAGGGCACGGCAGCGAAGGACAGCGAAGGATAGAGAAGGGCAGCACAGGAATTGGTATAGGCACATAAATTGGAACAGGCACAGTAATTGGAACAAGTACCGAAATTGGAACAGACACAGAAATTGGAACAGGTATAGAAATTGAGACACTCACGGGGATTGGAAAATTACTTAATTATTGAAGCGTGTGTTATTTATTAAGGTGTTACTAATTAAGGCGTTAATTATTAAGGCATTATTTATTAAAGTATTATTGGTTAAGGCATTACAGTAAATTCTCCCTAATTGACGCTCAGATTGAGCACAAAAATGGACAATTTGGGAAAAGGAGATACGATTATTTGAGCTTTGCGGCTCGTTTTTATAGTTGTTGACAATCGGTAACTAAATATTAGGTAATACACTTTCACGTAGATGTTAGATAACCAAGTACGTCTAAACGTCCGCAAAAAGTATTTTCATACTTTAATAAAATTTTGACAATTATATTATTATTTATCAAAACTATCAATCAAAATTAATTAAAAATTATTACATTATGAATAAGAAATAATATTTAATTACCTAACGTTAAGAGAGATTATTTTTTTAAACATTTTTAGTGAAAATTTCATTGAAATACCTTTAATGGTCCATCTCGTATTTATCAAGCAACTACACATCTCTAGATAATACCATTTATGTAACGAAATCTGTACAACAGATACCGACCTGCTGAATCCATAAAATCACGTAACTACCTTAGCTCCTTAAGTCAATGTCAAGTAACACAACTATGGTCTTCTAAAAATGATCGACTGTAGATAAAGAGTGTTTATGTTCTCTCGTGTCTCTGACCTAACTGCCTTACCCATTCAGTATTAGACGACTGATTCCAGCGTCCTCTTCTCATGGATTACAATTAACTGAGAAACTATTCGCTGGAGTATTACACTGTTCGACAAAATCAAACTTTTTTTTCTGGGTTCCTATAGCCACTATGAAATTCTTGTAGAACTTCACTCCCTGAACAAGAATCCGAAAACCGAATTGCTCCATCACCCTCAGTTTTTTAAATAAACGAACTTTTGTAAAAACACAAAATTTTCGACAAAAATGAGGTATTGTATGGAAAGTATAAACATTAGAAAGTTCTAATTGGTGTTAAAAGATAGAGGAGAGTTTCCCGAATATAGTGGCATGCAATTTATGAATTGTTTTTGGTCCTCAATAGCAATAAATTGATGTCAAACTTTAAAAAAGTGTCGACGTGAGCAGTTTCTCCGCAATATTTTTGTATTTTTACGAAAAGTTTTTTGTTCAGCACGAAAACTTCACCCAGAATCGGATTCTGTAGACATTTCTGAAGAAGAAACGGCCCGATAGAAGTGTCAGAACGATGTACATTTTGAGTAGGTCGAGAAAATGTTCGTCGGCAACACGTACACGATGTTTTGCCGCCATGTGCTTCGCTGCTCGCTTCTCTCTGTCCGACAGGGCCAAAGCTATGGGTAATCAACACCGATGGAGGGATCCAATGGGGCACCCACTTAGCATGTGGGGCCTGGCATTTTTTTTAGTACTTCAATGTGCTGTCTTCTTTTACATATTTTTATGGGTAATAATCACCAAACTGTGAATCATAAATTAAAAATGGAGAAATAATAAAAGAAAAATAATGAAGAAAAAATATTCATTTTATTCTGAATTTGTTCGAATTACAAGTATATCATGTATACAGTTATCATTTCAATTATAATGATAATACGATCATGAATAAATAATCATTTTCAAAACGTTAAACTTCTTGAAACATATCGTTAAAAATATATTTAAATATTTATTCAATTATATGGCGTAGAAGTCAAAATTATACTAGTGTTAGAATACTTTCGTTACCAACTCCAAATACTCTGGTGTGAT